CAATGGCAAAGCTGTGACAGCAACCATGTGGTCTGCAAGACACAACTGATCCTTTAAGATAGTGTGCCAACCTCTGAACTAGGGGCTATTTTTATACCTTCTAAGTAACACATTTATTAAAAAAAAAGTTTCTTGGTTAAGCTTTTTTTTTTTTTTTTAGGGCTAAAAAAGGGGAACCTTGTTCAAATAGGATAATTATAATTATAAATGACACATGGTCACAGTGTGACTGTTCGTGCTTTGATAAAAACAGGCCAAAGTTTACACTAGGCTTGGCCCTTACACTGATTGCTGTGCCTTTCAGCTGTCCCTTCTCTGTCAGAGTCTGAGCGTGTAAAAACACACTCACTTCAGAGCTTCCTTTTCATTCTTATTCCTCTGTTTCTGCTAAATTTCTCAAGATGCTTCTTGGACCAGCCAGTATTTCACCTGTTTCAGTTCCTCCTTTCCCTCGTTTCTTCTTGCTGGTTTTACTGTTTCTCATGTTCTCTATTCTGGTTTGGTCGAAATATCAAGAGCCTTGATCATCCCCTTGTCACTGTTATTATTTGCCAAATCTTCAGTGCTGGCTTACATTTAAAAATGCTGGCCTTTGTTTTATACTTTAATATTTGTTTAGATTTATGCACATACTTAAGTTATTGTGCATGATTCCTTCTTGCCTCTCACTGTCTTCCTGTTTGGATTTAATTTTGCTAGCTTGCTTTTTTCTTTTCTTTTCTTTTCTTTTTTTTTTTTTTGAGAGTTTTTTTGCTATAGGGCGCGTGTGCTCACCAGACAGAGAGAGACATAGAGACAGAAAGCGAGAAATCACCCCCCAGGGGGGATGGTCATGCTGCAATCCCTTCTCCTCCATTCTCCTCTCAGGATCTTGGGTACACACGTACATGCGCCCGGCGTGAGTTCTAAGCCACCGGGTCTGGGACGCGAACCGTGGTCAACTACGTGGGAATCCAGCGATATAGCCATTACGCTAACTGCTGGTTCCCTAGCTTGCTTTTTTCTTGAAGAGCACCCAAGTTATCACTCCATTTGTTCCTCAGGGTACTGGGCATCTCTGGGCTCAGAGCAGCTTCAGGCCAGCTCTTACGTTTTGCAACAGTGCTCACCTGCTTGCAGTTGGGGAGATTTCCTTCTTTGACTCTATCCCTACCTGCTTTCTGTCTTTCAAGGATTTATTAAAATGTCTTGTCTAATGAACCTCTTCTTTATCCAAAATAGACACTGACTCATTCATTTTAAAAATACCTTTTTGTCACCGAGGGCGAAAAGGGTACCACAGCGTGTACCACACCTTGGTCTTGAATGGAAGTTCCACCTCTGTCCATCTCTACATGCGCTCATTTATCAGCCCAACAATTAAAATCCAGCTGTGTATCATTTTTATCTGCAGATAGGTACGTGTTCCAGTTCTCGTAACTAATGTCACCAGTTAATCCTGAAAGGCAATCTTAAGTACGATCAAGAACATGAGTGGTTGAACCAGACACTTAGAATAAATCTTGATTCAATTATACTCTATTTGATCTTTGGGCAACTAGACCTCCCTGAGACAAATGGTTTCCTATCTATAAAATGTAGATAACAGTACCTATGTATTTGGGTTGACAGTAAATTATAAGTGATACAGCATATTGCATACAGCTGACTTGAAATATTCTAGCAATCTTCTTTGTTTTTGTGATTTTCCCTCCATGGGTAGTCATCATATTGAGTTATACTATACTCTAATTTTGCCTCTTTTCTTATGCTAGTGATATCCAAGCTAGATAACATTAGAAATATCCATAGTCTATAAAAGTTCTTAAGTCCTTCAAAAATATAATCCTAAGAATTCTACTTCTGATAAAAGAATCAACGATTAGATCATCAGGAAAATCATGAAGCATTTTTGCATAGAAAAATACACCATGACTTTCCTGGCGATCAAACAGGCTTAAGACAAATACTGACTGTAACTTTTAAGAGATGCACTGGAAAAGTTCTATTTTAGCAATTAAGGATTTCTGAAAGAACATAATCAATTTCCAAGAAAATTTGGCTAACAAAACTATAGGGTATCCATTAAGGAAGCTTATGTAATAATGAAATCAAATTAAATTTGAAAAAGCAGAACTAAAATTAACTGTGCTACTTTCAACAAAGCTAAAAAATTCCATTTCTTTTATATATAACAAATTATAGCCCTGCATGATTATAACTGATCTACTAAAAATATAGCTAACTCTGAATGTCACTTATTTGGCAACAAAAATTAAGGCTCTGACAAATAAAAGAAGGATATGGGAATAAAAGAAAAGATAAAATAGGTAAAAAGTTAAGACAACTCACAACCAGTATTTAGCAACACAGTACATGTTTATAAAAAATCTTTTTTTTTTTTTTTGAGAGGTTTTCACTATAGGGTGTGTGCACTCGCCAGACAGACAGAGAGAGACATAGAGACAGCGAGAAATCACCCCCCAGGGGGGATGGCCACGCCGCAATCCCTTCTCCTCCATTCTCCTCTCGGGATCTTGGGCACGCACGCACACACGCCCGGCGTGAGTTTCAAGACGCCGGGTCTGAGACTCAAACTGCGGTCGACTACGTGGGAGTCCAGCGACATAGCCGTTACGCTAACTGCTGGTCCCTATAAAGAATCTTTTAGGATAAGGTATCAGGGCCCACTGACCATGCAAATCAAGGTGGCTTTCCAAGAATCCATTTAGTGTAGAAAAGACTTTTTTTTAAAAGAGAGATTTATGCTATATGGCTCATGTGCTCGCCAGACAGAAAGCAAGAAATTACCCCTCCAGGGAGGATGGCCATACTGCAATCCTTTCTCCTCCATTCTCCTCTTGTGATCTTGGGCATGCACACACATGCACCTGGTTTGAGTTTTAAGCTGCCGGGTCTAGGACTTCAATTGAGGTTGACTACGTGGGAGTACAGTGACATAACCGTTACGCCATCTGCTGGTCCCAATGTAGAAAAAGTCTTTTAAGAACAGAAACTTACAACCATAAGGTCTTAACTTCCTGGAGCATCACATTTTATAAGTAAGAAATACAGAACAATGCTTCAGGCTTTCTCTAGCTTAGGAATAACTATGTCTTTTTTTTTTTTTCTCCCTAAGAGGAAGGAGGCATATTGAAAGAAAAATTGTCCTGACTTGTAGTTCAAGTTAATGACTAAAAAGAAAGAGCATGCTTTCAGCTGGGCAACTCATTAGTAAATGACCAAAGTCCTAAAGTTGTAAACTAAAAAGGATCCCACAGAGGTTTTTTCTAAATTTCCTTGGTGAGGTCAAGGAAAGAAGGGGAAGGAAGGATGAGGAAGGAATCATTCACTTCCTTTACTATCCACTTTGCTGGCAGACAGGTTGAGGTCATGGGAATGAAGTCAACACTGAGAAAGGACTGGGCCAGATGGAAAAAAAAAAAAGTCAGATCCTGGTCATGTGGCATGAGCCCAGGGTCAAGCTATGCCTCAGCTGTATGTTACATGAGTCAATAAGATCTTTTTACTATTTAAGTCTGTGTTGGCTGGGTTTAGTTACTTATAATACACAGAGCTCCACTAATACATTATTGGAATTTTATATAAATCTTTCATAAACTGCAAATCAATATTTGTAGGCTAAAGCAACTAGTTTTTGTTATAGTAAGCAAAAACACTCCCCCAGAGATGCAATTATCTACTGATAATTTTTCAAGGGTACTTTAAAATCTTTTCATGGCATTAGAGAAGGAACTGACAGTAAGGAGAAAGAATGAGTGAAAATCTTTGTGAGCAAACACTGTCACAGATGCTAGATGGATCCACTGTGGTGACAAAGAATGATTTATCCCTTCTTTTTTTTTTCCTTTTGGAGAAATGCATCATTCATCTCAGTATGATCAGCACAATTTCAAAGTTGCCAGTGCTATATTCATAAATAAATAAATAAAACACACCACTTTAAGGATTCCAGTAATGATGTTTCACGTGAAGTTATGGGTAGAAAAAAAACCCCTAGTTTTAAAGGACCTAAATTAACGTCTTTCACAACCCTATCTTCAAAGAGTTGTCAAATAAATTGTCTAAGAGGTAAATACATCTTCTTTCCCAATTTTCCCCATATCTTAATGAAGCTGACCTTATGAAACATAGAATCCTCTTCATTCCTGTGTTAGAATAATAGCCACTATTTATTGAGCACTTATTATGTGCCTGCCACTGAGGCAAAATATCCAATATTTACTCGTTGAATTTCTATTTCTTCCTTGCTTATTTTAACAGCGCTTGTTTTGAGATCCCAAATGAATATAAACAGCACTTCCCAGAGTACAGCCATGAAATGACAACTGTAGGATGAGTATCAGAGCTGTATTTTACAGATTCCTGGTCTTCCGTGTATTTGCAAGCTCTATCTATTGATAGTATAGCTAGAATAGTTCCAACTAACTGGTTCATACTGGAGGCTGGATTTTAAACTCCACCCAAGAGCTTATAATAGGGAAGACAAAAACACACCGGAAAAGGCAAATGTTCTACTATCTCAATCACATCAAGAAACTAATGACCTGGAGAGTCCTTACTTCTAGCAAACGACCTCTAATAATCATGCTCAGTATGTGCCACAGAAAACGAAGCTCACAAATTTCAAACCAGTGCTACTCACAGTGTGGTCTGTGAGCCTGGGACCCGTATGCATGCTGTTACTTGTCCATGGCAACATTCTCTATATCACTAAGTACAATGTTTACTTCAGCCAACTTTGGTCTCATGATGAAATTTCCTTGAAGGAGACTGTTGATTAATATTCTAGCCCAAGTTCCTGACCCATCACAAACTGCTAATGAATAGTTTGTGAACCAGTTACTTTTGAGAAACTGTGTTCAAGCCCTTGATTATGGATATGGTCTCTAATTTCCTGTCCCTGCCCATATAGAATGCAAATGAACGAATAATCAAATACTTAGTGTCAACTGTTAAACAGTAATGAAAAAAGCAATACAAATTAGCGATGGCCTCACCTTTGACAGAAGCAATTTCACACAGGAAACATGACCCTCATAGACAGCAGACAGAAGAGGAGTAATATGATGTTTATCTGGAGCCTATGAGATAATAAATAAAGAGATAACCTTATCCATTTTTCATTTCTTCCTTCTAAATCTAATTAAGGAACTCTTGTGAATATATTAAAATCAATGTTTACCTGTTTGGCTTTCTACATAGAGACAAACATCTAGTTTCTGAGAGCTACCGGGGCCCAAGCCCAGAAATGTCTCTGTTGGGACTCTGTAAAGTAGAGGGAGCAGGGCTTTAACCTCAGCTCAAATCTTGGCTCTGCCACTTACTGTGTGGCTAGTTATTTAGTCTCCCTGATGCTTAATTCCAAATTACTGTAGAAATGCCAATGTGCTCCAGGACAGAGCAGAATAGCTGATGAGGTAAAAGCCTGTTAGGTGACATGGTTTCCTTGGAATGTGAACATGGGAACAGTTCATCTAACTTGCTGCCATGACTACTTAAACATTTTCTGAAACTGAAGTGCAGAGGTTACAAAAAGCCACGGTCAGATGACTATTTGACTACTTGCTCACTTACCTTTGTAAACAATACTGATTATTTTATCCTGCGACTGTACAGTCCTGCTTCATTACATGACAGCCACGTACTACCTGTGATACTACTAACTTCCCAAGTTTTAGAACCTAAAAAGCAACAGCTAGCAGTGAAACATCCTAATCTTCAGTTTTATCACCTTAAAAGTCAGTCTGTTTGGCTTATTTGTGAAAATCCTAAGTATGTATTTTTAAAAAAGAATTTTTTATTTAATTTTATTTATTCATTTATTTATTTTCATTGACCAGAGAAAGACAGACACACAGAGAGAAGGAAAGTGAGAAAGCAAGCCATCAGGTTCGGGACTCGAACCACGGTCGGCCATGTGGAAGTGTCCAGCGCCTTCACCACCATGCCACCTGCTGGCACCCCAACTATGTATTTCTAAATTACAGGAAATTTCACACAATTTCAAATTGTATTCTTGTTTAAAATAAGGTTTCTATAGGTAACTGTTTTACAAATCTACAGAAAACAAAATTACCCAAAGCATATAAAAGAATTTTTTTTAGAATGACAATGTTCTGTACATACATTAATATCTGCTCCTTTCAGCAGCATGAATTCCAGGATTTCAAGCTGCCCACAATCAGCTGCATAATGGAGAGGCTTCCTTCCACCTTCCAGTGTCCGGTTGACATCTTCTCCCTTATGAGAGAGCCAAATGAAAACAGTTGTAAGGATGGTAGACTGAAGAAGGGAAATGAGGTACCTGGTTATTTTTACTTTCTTAGAGTAACAAGAGTTTCATGAAATGATTGAAATAAATACCAAAAACATGAAATGAAATTCTGCACAACAGTTAACACACAGTAGGATAGTCATTCAGGTCATGATTCCTCAAGCTGAAAACAACACACACGAAAACAACACACATGAATGTTAAATGTAATGAACTGTAACCATGTGCCATTTCTAAGGAGTTTCACCAGCATAATGTCAACGTGACCACAAAAGTGGTAAGCTCAAGTAATGAGATTTTGATTTTTGAAAAGGTTTTATGGACCAAGGACTACTTCTCACACTTGTTTTATTTCTACTGTGACGAGCGATATGGGGCTTATAAATTTCAATAACAGTTTGTTGACTGCCGAGTGATTATGGCAATATAAGTATAAAACATAACATTAAGAAACAGCGGGGCCAGCAGGTGGCATGGTGATTACGGCACTAGACTCCCACATGGCCAAAAGCAGTTCAAGTTCCAAACCCAGAAGCCTGAAAAACATGTTGGATATATGTGTGTGCTTGCCCAATCCCAAGAGGAAAATGGAGGAGAGGAGATTGTGGCACAGTCATTCCCCACACAGGGGGTAATTTCTCACTTTGCTTCTCTCTGGCAAGCACATGAACCCTACAGCAAAAACAAACAAAACAACAACAAAAAAATAAAACAAAACCAGGCAGTTATTTGATAAAGAACCTTGTTGATTTGCCATGTACACAGGAGAGAACGTGGCTGGAATAATTAATTACTACCTTATTATGTATGTAATGGCCACAGATCAATCTGAAATCTACCTACCTACTTGCCTATTTATTTACTGAGTGAGTGCGCGAACATGCACCGTGTGTATGGTATTTTAGATAGGGTCTTTCTATGACACGATCCTTCTCCCTCAGTCTCCTGGGAGTTGGGGGCCACATGTATATACCACCACATCTGACATTTAGGGTGGGCTGGAAATTGAACTGGGGGCCCCTATGAAGCCTCAGCCTGCTGAGCAGCAGTATCAAGACCATGCAACAGGATGGGCCTCTTGGTATCAATTTCAAAAGCTACACAGTATTCTGCCAAGTGATATATCACAGTTTCTGCACAAATATTCTCTTAATTCTGGACTTGTGCTTTATTACCAAATACCCTGTAACACTGAAGTTTTTACTTTATAGAACATAACAATGCCATATTTCATGGACTTCAAAACACATTTCCCTATATTTTAGTCTCTCTCAATATGGGTCACAAAACAGAAATAAAAACTTTATCATTTTGCCTTGGTGATTATAGAAAAGGTAGCTATAGATCAGTAACATGTCTTTAACATAAACATTAACATAAGAGGGTTACTATTCATTTCACTTCTCAGAGTTTAACATATACCACCTAGCTATAACCACCCAATCAATTATTTGCTTATTTAACAATAGTACAGGTGGGGCCGGCAGGTGGTGTGATGATTGAGGTGGCTGGACTCCCAAATGGGTGACTGTGGTTCGAGTCCTGGACCTGGCAGCTTGGTCTCTCACTTTCCTTCTCTCTCTCTCTGGTCAACTTCAAAAAATAAAATTAAGGGACCAGCAGTTAGCGTAATAGCTATGTCGCTGGACTCCCATGTAGTCGACCACGGTTTGTGTCCCGGACCTGGTGGCTTAAAACTCACGCCGGGCGCGTGTGCGTGCATGCCCAAGATCCCGAGAGGAGAATGGAGGAGAGGGGATTGCAGCGTGGTCATCCCCCCTGAGGGGTGATTTCTCGCTTTCTGTCTCTATGTCTCTGTGTGTCTGGCGAGTGCACGGCCCTATAGCAAAAACCTCTCAAAAAAAAAGAAAAAAGAATTATTGTATTTAATCTTATTCATTGTCATTATATTAATTTTATTTATTTATTTTTTTTAGAGGTTTTTGCTATAGGGCACATGCACTCACCAGACAAAGAGATACAGAGAGACAGAAAGTGAGAAATCACCCCCCGGGGGGATGGTCATACCACAGTCCCCTCTCCTCCATTCTCCTCTTAGGATTCTGGGCACGTACGCACACGCGCCCGGTGTGAGTTTTAAGCCACCGGGTCCGGGACACGAACCACGGTTGACTACGTGGGAGTCCAGCGACATAGCCATTACGCTAACTCCTGGTTCCCAATAAAATAATTCTTAAGAAAACCCAACAAAACAATAGTACAAATAAAGATTTTTCCAGTTCAAATGATTAGGGGCAACATCTGATTTTCTTAAGAGCAAAATAAACAAAGTCTATTGCTTTCTTTCTGCCTTATTATCTTTTTTTACAGAGAGATTTTTTGCTATAGGATGCGTGTGCTTGCCAGAGAGACAGAGACAGACAGAAGGCGAGAAATCATCTCTCCTCCCCCTCCAGGGGAGAGGATGGCCACACCACACACCACAATCTCTTCTCCATTCTCCTCTCAGGATTTTGGGCATGCATGTGCATGCACATACGCCTGGTGTGAATTTTAAGCCTGCATGTCCGGGACTTGAATCGTAGTCAACTACATGGGAGTCCAATGACATAACCATTATGCCATCTGCTGGCCCCCTTTCTGCCTTATTTTAACAACAGGATAAAATAAAATGAATCTGGCTAATTTCTTTCTTTCTTTTTTTTTTTTTTTGGAGGGGTTTTTCGCTTTAGTTATAGGGCGCGTGCGCTTGCCAGACAGACAGTGAGAGACATAGAAAGCGAGAAATCACCCCCCAGGGGGGATGGTCATGCTGCAGTCCCTTCTCCTCCATTCTCCTCTCGGGATCTTCGGCATGCACGCACATGTGCCCGGCGTGAGTTTTAAGCCACCGGGTCTGGGACGCGAACTGCGGTCGACCACATGGGAGTCCAGCGACACAGCCATTACGCTAACTGCTGGTTCCCAATCTGGCTAATTTCTTCATAATGCTGAGTTGTTTTTCTCTTCTAATACTTCACTCTAAGTATCAGATAACTTATTCTAACATTCACCAAAGATAACAGTTTGGTTATTCAATCATTTGTGAAACATTTACTGGCATTTGTAAAGGTTCAGGCATTGTGATATGATCATGATGAGACAGCAATAGTGAAGAGTCACTTCCCAAAGGAGTTTATAGTCATACACAGCAAGCCAATAAGCAAACCATTTATAATAACATCTGATTAAAATCATGCCATATAGTAAAGCTCCATTAGCGGTCATGAATCTGCTTTGGAAATGAAGATAAAGATTACTAGCTCAGCCTGGGAGGTGTCTGGCAAAACTACTAAGAGATAAAACTTGGTCTGAGTGTAACATTTTGTTTTAAATGAAAAGGTTATTTTTTTTCCATCTTCATGGATTTCGTATTTTTAACAATGTCATGAGGACATGTCTTAGAACCAGGCAACAGAGAATATAAAAGATCTATCCATTAGGCCGACAGAGCCACCAGAATTGGGATTTGTCTAGTAAATGAGTAGGCTCTAAGTGTGCCTGGGGCAACCCTCACATCCACTGTTAGCACACTCTGAACCTGGATAGTTTTCCTTCTTTAAAAGATAAGTGAGAAGAAATCCAATACGGAGTAAATGAAAACCAATCACACAGCCAAAAAAATAAAAGAAAAAAAGAAAGTACTTCTGAAATAATGTAAGAAATCAAATTTTAGAAACTACCTACACAGTAATCAAAATGGAATCTAGGACAGGCCAGTAGCCTGGTGGTTAAGGGAGCTAAAATCACATGGCCAACTACCTGGTTTGAATCCCAGACCTGGAAGCTTGAAAATCATGCCAGGTGGGTATGCATGCTTGCCCCAAGTCTTGACAGGATGAAAAAATGGAGAAGGAATTGCATGGCCACACTCCATTGGGAGGTGATTTTCCCCTCTCCCTCTTTTTCTCAGGCAGGCACCTGAGCCCTTTGGCATATTAAAAAATAAAGGAATGCAAAGGACATGGTCTCTATGAAAAGATATGCTAAAAAGTGAACACGTAAAAACATGCAAAACGAACAAACCAAGGCTGACAGGATAAAGGAGCTAGTAGAGAAAGTGGAATATAGCAAGGAAATTAAAACCACATTTGTAAAACTATAATCTGCACCAAAGTCAGTATAGTTGAAAAGAAAACTCTAGAACTGAGAACAAGCTTAAGTTTGCCCAGAATACAGAAGTGATAAAGAAATAAAAATGATAAAAATTTAAAAAAGATAGGCACAGAGATTATATAAAGTTCTAACTTTTTTTTTTTAAAGAAAAGGTCTATACCTGCACACTGTAAAAGCTCACTCTATTATATGACAAATATTCAAAAGATTTCTTCCTGAAATCACTGCAGTTTTGCAACTTGTTTTACAAGGAAGAAACAAACAAAAAGTAAAGAACACACTGATACCAAAGAAAGGAAAGAATGGACTCATATTTTTTGACTCTCCTACAATAATGAACCCCAGGGGACCAGTGAGACCATCTATGAGGTTGGTGCAAAAGCTAGTATGGTTTTAGACCGTGAATTTTAAATCATTGTAACTAGGCTCAAACACATCTTTATTAATTAATCAGAATAGGAACCATGAAAATCAACACAGCTTTACCAGCAAGAAATTAATTCATTTCCGCAGCATAAAAACCTGTGCTTCAGGATTTGACAAACTCTTAGAAAACAGCTTCTGCATCCTGTTGGTTGTGGAGTTTTCCCTGCACAAGTCCAGTAAATGAGTAGGCTATGACTGAAGGAGTGGTAGTGGGTTGGCGAGAGGTCAGGTGAATAAGGCGGATGAAGGCAAAACGTAGTAGCCCAATTTGTTCAATTTTTGAAGTGCTGGTTGTGTGACATATCGGGCATTGTAACGAGGAAGCACAGGGGCCTTTCTGTTTATCAGAGCCAGCTGCAGGAGTTGTAGTTTTTGAAGCATCTCATCAATTTGCCAAGCATACTTCTCAGATGTAATGGTTTTG